TGGAGAAGGTGAAGCTGAAGCTTCTTGAGAGCCAGGAAAGGACTGGACTTAAGGGCTCCAGGTGGAGGTCAGGGAAAAAGACTATTTTAGGCATCTAATAGGCTTTGCAAAGGGCTAAGAGCACTTGATCTTCACAGAGCAAAGGGAGTGTAGAATTGGGCAAAACCCGAGTTCTTTGAAAAAATGGGAAGTTGCTTCTTTATAAGAAGGTCTGTGTCAGACCTTTTTTGTGTGTCTTGGACCCTTTGGCAGCCTGGTAAAACCTATAGTAGTTTTCTTAGAGTAATGACTTTAAATGCATAAAATTATATACATATATATGTATGTATATGTATACACATACATATATATATGTACATACGTGTGTGTATATATAATATAGATAGATAATTACAAGGGAATCAATTATATTGAAACACAATTACAAGTCCACATATTCCAGATTAAGGAACCCCCTCCTCCACTGTCTTATGGGTTTAGGTATGAATTGCTAATATAATTTTTTTATTTAATTAATTTATTTGTTTTTAGTTTTCAACATTCACTTCCATAAGCTTTTGAGTTTTAAATTTTCTCCCCTTCCCTCCCCAAGATGACATACAATCTGATATAGACTCTACATATACATTCCTATTAAACATATTTTCACATTAGTCACATTGTAAAGAAGAATTAGAACCAATAGGAGGAACCATGAGAAAGAAGAAACAAAACAAAACAGAAGAAAAAAAAGAGCAAATAGCACGCTTCGATCTGCATTCAGACTCCATAGCTCTTTCTCCGGATGTGGATGGCATTTTCCATCATGAGACTTTTGGAGATGTCTCAGATCCTTGCATTGCTGAGAAGAGCTAAGTCTATCAAAGTTAGTTGTTGCACAATGTAGCTATTACTGTATACAATGTTCTCCTGGCTCTGCTCACTTCACTTAGCATCAGTCCATACAAGTCTTTCTAGGTTTTTCTGAAATCTGCCTGCTCCTCATTTCTTATATCACAGTAGTATTCCATTACATACATGTACCACAACTTGTTCAGCCACTCCCCAATTGATGGGCATCTCCTCAGTTTCCACCTAATACAATTTTTTATGTGTAAGTAGTAATAATAACCAGCATCTATTTAGCACTTTAAGATTTTCAATGTGCTTTACATCCATTATCTCATTTGATGCTCACAACAACCCTTGGACATAGGTACTATTATAATTCACATTTTCGTAGATAAGGACACTAAAGCTGAATGAGATTAAGTGATTTGTCTTGGGTCATATAGATAGTAAAGTATCTGAGGCAAGAGTGGAATTCAGGTTTTTGTGACTCTAAATCCAGTGCTCCATCCTCTCTACTACCTATCTTCCCAATGTTTAGTGCTCTTGTTAGCCTGAGTGCTTGCACAGGAGCTAAGGTCTTTTTTCTGGGGAGTAAAATAAGTCAAATACTGCCACCCCCATATTATCTCTGACTGAGGAAATAAACCAGAGATTTGTGAGAGGCATTCCCAAAATTATACATGGGTTCTTGTGTCAGAAAAAAAGTTGATATTACAACAGAATTACATTGAGAAGTTTTGTAGTATAAAAGTGAGGGAGTCTAGTTTGGATTAAACATTCCTGTCACATAGTAGATGCTTAGTAAATACTTGTTGAATAATTGACTTTGATTTTCAAGTGAAGTAGGAAGCAAGGTATTCTGTTTGAAGGGTGGGTTTGCAGTTCAGGGCTTGAGGAGAGAAGAAAAGGTTTTGTGGATTATTTATTTATTTATTGTGGATATTATTTAGGGTTAACCCTTAGCTCCATTATGTATATATTCACAAGTGGAAGAAGGCAGTATCATACTGAAAAGGATAGTAGGTGAAGATTTAGGAGATCCTATTTCAAATCCTATATCTGCCACTAAGTAGCTAAGAGATGTCAGGAAAGTTACTTTTTCTCCCTGGGTCTCAATTTTTTCTTTTGTGAAATAAGAGGGCTAGACTAGATGGTATGTAACTAGGGTCCTTTCCAAGTCTGACATTCTATGCTTCTAAATGGCTTTTGGATGGATGAAGCTACCTCTTAGTTGTTTCAAAGCCTGGAAGACAATAGGGTAGGGTCCTATGTGCCTGTCCCTTCAGGAAGTACTTTTTCTTCTTCTTGCCATTTTTTGTTCTACAAAATAGGAGGCAAGGAGCCTAGGGAAAGGGGCAAAGATTCCTACAAGGGAGAGATGTCTCTTCCTTTATTCAGGTCAGTCCCTAGTTTACAAATTGTGTTTAGTTCTCTAAATAAGCCTGCAATTTTGTGTTCTTCCAAGGTGGGACCTTTCCAGGGTTCCACTGCAACCTGAGCACCCCCTTTCTCCCTCCCTCTTTTCCTTTCTCCACATTCCAGGAAGCACCTGGGAAGAGCATGAATGCCCTGTATTCAGAAAGATCAACCCCATCCTCCCAAGTTGCACTTTCCTGTCTCTGCAGGGCACCTAAACTGAGCTGCCTTTTCACATCTGGATTCTCTCCTAGACTCACTCAAAAGAAATGACCCTTGTCTTGCTGCTAGTGGAAATTTTGTGTTATTATTGCTGTTTTGGTAAAGTGTGGTGTGTAAAACTGGAAGCTAGGGCTTTGGACAAACCATGGTCTTTCAGCCAGTGACCAGACCAAAAATAAAGTGAGTAAACACAACACTTGAACCAGGACCCATGTGAAAGGTTAATTGGATCCCATGGTTGCCAGTCTTTCTGATTCTGCCAATGGGAACAGAACTAATCCCCACCAGAAACTAGTACTTGGTGGCAGATATCACAAAGAATCAAAGGATCATAAATCTATAACTAGAAGGGACCTTAGAGGTCAACTAATTCAATCCTCCTATTTTAAATGTAAGATATGTAGGTCCATGTAAGATAGGTGTATCCACGTGGGTGGTCTAAATGTATAAACACATGTGGGATATATAGATATCTCTGAAGTCTGATTCATCCTTCTCCAAGGTGATTTCTAGCTTGAGGGAAACAGGAGAAGGGCTGTGGCTGGCTGCATGGTCTTTCCCTTGCCTATCTCCAATATCAGGCTAGAATTACATCCTATTTGTACCCTCAAACATTTCTGGTCTAATTTAGGAGTACATGTCTTGTTCAAAAGGAAATCTGCTTCCCTGGTCCCTTTTAATGAGTTGAATTGTTGAGTCATTTTTCAGTTGTGTTTGACTCTTCATGATCCCATTCAGGATTTTCTTGGCAAAGATACTGGAGTGGTTTGCTATTTTCTTCTCCAGCTCATTTTGCAGATGAGGAACTGAGGAAAACAAGGTTAAGTGACTTGCCTGTGATCACACAGCTAGTAAGTGTCTGAGGCCAGATTTGGACTCAGGAAGATGAGTCTTCTTGACTCTAGGCCCAGCACTCTATTCATAGCACCACCTACCTGCCCTTTTAATAGGATAGGATAATAGGATATCCCTTTTAATAACTGCCTTTTTAATAAGATAACCTTTATTTTACACTGTCCAACTTAGTTTCTTTCTAACAAACATAAATTACACAAAAGACCATCACAAATAATGAATAGTGGGTAAACCTTAAGTAAAACTTCATCCAATCAAGTAACAAACAGAAATCAAAGAAGTTACACAGATTAGAATATACCAAAGAAAATCCAAGAGTGAATCAGCATTTCATCTGGGAGTGAGATATCACCTTAAACCAAGAAAGAGGGACCAATCTCACCCAAGGACATCTGCATTAATAAAGGATGCTCTCTCCTCTGGAAGTTCCATGAAGTCACAGATCCCAGGCCCTAGCCCAATGTGCTGGGCTCTGTGCACCTCCCTAGCTAGACTGCGAGCTCTGTAGCCAGTCTCTGCCTCTCCAGAAAGGTTCTGAAGAAGCCTTTCCTCTTCTCTCCCCACTCCCCCCCACTTTTCTAAAACAGCTTAGACTCTGAGACATTGGGGGGATTGTCTGGAGAGGAACCATGGAAGACCATGGACAAGAATCTTACAGGATGACAACATGGATGTGTCATAGGCTGTGCCTCTCTGGGTGACCTTAATCCATAAAATGACAGAGATAGACTCAATAAGCTCTAATATCCCCTCTAGCTCAAAATCTATGATTCTATAACTTTTTTTCACTATTATAGAAATCACGAACCAGAGACAGTATGTTTGCCAGAACAGGGAGGTTGAGAGAGAGGAGAGTTGGGCTGGAAAGAATACTGAACTAAGAATCAACACTGTTAGATTCTAGTTTTATAACCTACATTTCTAACTTATGTGATCTTGAGTAAGTTACTTCCCTGATCTGAGCCTCAGTTTTCTGAGCCAGTGATGGGTTCTGCTCTCTGGAATACCCCCCAATTTTGATATTTAACATTCTATGTTCTAAAATCTGACACTACCTTCAGTCTGGGTTACAAAGAAGAATTCCCAGGCTGTGCACCCTTTTCTCCAGCAAGCTATTACAGCTATGGGCATGCCGGATACTCTGCAGAGACCAACTTGGGTGGAGGCTCTGTGGGATCCAGGGGAGGAGAGCAGAGATAGAATGAGGGAGGCAGTATGGGGTGGTGCATATCAGATGACCCAGGTTTTAGTCCCAGTTTTTACTGACTGTGGGACCTTCAGCAAATTGCTTTCCTTCACTGAATCTCAGTTTCTGCTTCCATTCTCCTCTGACAGTTGGTCGTTTGGCTTAATTTCTTACCACAGATCCTGGGCCAGGGAATTAAATTTGTGTCTTTGACTCTTGGAATTGTCCTTATGGTGTTTATTACGTTTCTGTCCCTTGCAGCTTTACTGACACCCAGGATAGTCTGAATGGCTATCACCTTACCATCCTTCCAATGAGGCCACTAGGGCTAGTAGAGGTAGACAGGGGTCTATCATGTCTAAGCCTCCCCCTAACCAGGGGCACCAAGGTCCTAAGCAGAAGAACAGGAGCCCGTGGCTCCACCCTAGAGGCAGCCCACTTCCCAGTGGGGTCATGGGTAGTATTTCCAAGATTGTTTTTCTTCTTAGACTCAATTTCCAAACCCTGTGGTCACACAGCCCAGTGCAAAAAAGGAGAAGTTTCTCAGAGAAGGAGGAGGCCAGTATCAAAAAACTGATAGTGTGTCAAGGCAAATCTTCGGCTCTCATCTCCACCAGCCCACCCCGGGCAGGCGGCAGCTTTGAGCACCTTCAGCCCTGGACCTAGTGCTCCCTTCTCTCCAGAGGCCATGGCTCCTGGAATCCTGCTACCACTGATGGCGGTGGTCATCTGGCACAGTAAGTTACAGAAGAGCTAACCCAGGAAGTAGGGGCAAAGCAGGGAGAGAGAGTCTCAAGAACTCTTTGGCAGACTCCTGGGTGCCTGGGGTGCCTCTGGAGACTCTAGCTCCCTGTTCCTGGGGTGAGGTTCTAAAGTCTAGGTTACAAAGTGGGATTCCCAGGCTATGCAACCTTTCCTCTGGAGAGTCTTGACAGCCTTGAGCATGGCAGATACCCTGCAAAGACCAGCTTGGGTTGGGGTTCTGTGGGACCCAAGGGAGGAGAGCAGAGATAGAATGAAGGGTGGTGCGTATTAGATGACCTGGGATCTAGTCCCAGTTCTTCTACTAACTGACTGTGGGACCTTGGGCTAGTCATTTTCCTTCTCTGAAACTCAGTTTCCCCCTCCGTAAAACGAAGAACTTGGACTAGATCAGAGAATGGATTTCAGGGAGTCTGTGAACTAGAATGAGAAAAAATGACATCTTTGTTTTCACTAACCTTTTGTTTACTTTGTCATCCTATATATTTTATTTTATGCATTTAAAACCATTATTGTGAGAAGGGGTCTACAAGCTTCTCTGTACTGCTTTGCCATAAAAAAGGTTGGGAACCCCTCGTATTAAGTGATGTCCAAGGGCCCTTCCAGTTCTGACCATCTGTGACTCTATGAAAAGGTAAAGGTGCAGAGGGGAGGGTATTTGGAGTGAGGTGGAAAGAGGAGACAATGTGAGAGCTTGAGTGGAGAGAACTGAGTAAGAGGTAGAAGTGGAGAGGAAAGAACGGGGCCTCGGATAAGCCAAGGATTCTGAGACCTCGAATGTCTGAGGGGCTGCAAGCAGGACAGACGGGACAGAGTGAGCAGACAGAAGCCTGAGCATTGTCTTTGCGGACTGAGATATACTTTCTATCTTTTTTTAAATTTTTTTTTAAGCAATAGGAGTTACTTGCTCAGGGTCACACAGCTAGTAAGTGTCTGAGGCCAGATTTGAGATACACTTTCTAGAAGAGGCTTCTCTGCCAAGAGACTTGCCCAAAGGCTGACGACCCCTAGGTGGGGCCACTTTCAGAACAACTGTAGTCCCCTTAGGCCCTAGAGGAACATGGGCATATGTTGGGAGAAGGAAGAAAATTAGTTTTGTCTGGAAGAGGGAGCTAGCTCCAAAATCCACGTCTTCCGTCAGAGATCAGTGTGTAAGAAAGAAAGGGGTCAATGAAAGAGACACGGTGAGCTTTCCTTGCCCGTAGGCTCTGCTCCAGAGGGACCCTAGGGAAGGGGGACACTGGTGCATAGAGATAATTTCATTCTTTATATTTTTATCTTCAGCACTTTGCACGGGACTAGGCACATGATAATAATTTGGAGCTGGAAGAGACCCAAGAAGCCATTGAGTCCAACCCTACTCATTTTTCAGATGAGGAAAGTGAGGCACAGGGAGATTAAGTGACTTGCCCAGAGCCACACAGCAGTACATATCTGAGGATGGATTTGAATGCACCTCTTCCTGACTCCAAGCCAAGTGCCCAATCCATTACACCAGTCTAGGCAGCTAGGCATTGTGCCCAACCCCATGCCTGGTACCAGGCAGGCAATGAACATTGGCGGAACGCACCATGGGATTTAGACTCAGAAGGATCCTTAGAGATCCAAGTTTTTATTTTTTTAACCATGTTTTCAGGGAGTCCAGTGATTCAAAAGACCCTCATTTTACAAAGGAGACTGATTCCCTGAGATCGAAGGTCACTCAAGTTTTGAGGAGCAGAGACGGAATTTAAAGCACGGCTCATTGCTGTTGGACCTGGTGCTCTGTCCTTTGCTCTACCTCACTGCCCCCTCTACAAAACCAGATAATCCAAAGATCCCTTCTAGCTCTAAAATGCTTTGCTTCTAATAAATGAGTGAATGAATGTGTGGATTAGCTGGGCTCTGAGAGGAATTATCTTCTTTCTTCCTCACCCTAAATTTGAGTTCTTCAGTTCTGAGCCTAGAAAGATGCTGGAGTTTAGGGGCATGGTCAATAATAGGACCTTGACTTCCTATGGCACAACTCACTTTTCCCCTCACAACAACCTGTCAGATGGGTAATAAAAACATTATTATCCCCAATTTATAGATGAAGAAACTGAGGTTCAGAGAAGTGATACAATTTACTGAGGGTTATACAGCCAGTAAGTATGGGAGCCAGGATTTGAACTCAGGTCTTCTAATCATAAGACCACTTCTCATTTCACTACTAGATGAAGCTCCCCTCTTAACCCTACTCTCAGACCACCAATCAAAGAGCTGGAAGAAGGCTGTCCAAAGGTTCCTACATAAGTTGTTGGGGGATGGGGGAGAGATTCAGGGACTAGGTGACAGGCAATTTGAAGAAATGGGAAAGGATGAAGCTTGGGGTGATGGGGAGGGGAAGGAGGGAAAAAGAGGTTGAATTTGGAAAGGTGGCCAGTGTCCCAAGTCCATGGCAGAGAGCAAGGGACTTGCCAACCTTTCCTTCCTTAAACCAGGATCAAGGGGTGGGGGGAAGGCAAAAAAAAAAATCGACAGTGAAGCTTCAAGTGACGAACCTAGCACGTCAATCTCATTCTGCATGAGTGTTGTTTCTGAGCTGGACGTGACTGAACTTCAGTGAAGATGACAGGAAGTTAAATGAGCCCAGACAGTTTCTTTCTATATTTTGAGGAAGAGAACTGGGAAAATGGAGGTAATGGAGGGCCAAAGAGTCCTGTGGTTGTTCCTTTCTTCTCCTCCAAATGACTCTAGAAGGAAGGAAGCACCAGGGACCAGTCTTCCATCAGAAGTCATCAACAAGAATGTATTAAGTACTTACTATGTGCCAGGAACTGTGCTAAGAATTGGGGGATACACACACACACACACACACACACACACACACACACACGTATGTGTGTATGTGTATGTGTACATGTACATGTATATGTATGTGTATGTGTATATGTACGTGTATGTGTACATGTATGTGTATGTGTGTAGTATGTGTATTGTACGTGTACGTGTACATGTGCATGTGTATGTGTATGCAAAAACAGCCCGTGATCTCAAGGAACTCGTAATCGATAGGGGCTGGGGGCGGGGGTTGAGAGACAACCAGCAAACGATTATGTACAACCAAGATAGATTTGGTATATAAACTAGAGGTAATCTTAGAGGGAAGGCATTAGCATTAAGAGGGACTGGGAAAGGCTTTTTGAAGAAAACAGAATTTTAGATGCGACTTTGAAGGAAGTCAGGAAATAGAACTTGGGAAGAACTAGAGACAATCTAGTCCAGCCCCTCCAGTTTCCCTCCTAAAGGAGGGAAAGTCATTTATCCAAGGTTACAAAATATCTTAGTGGCAAGACTTAATTGGCAGGTGACCCGACTCCTAGACACAGCTCTTTCCCAAGAGGCCCAGAAGCATCCCTTGTCCCCAGGACAGTCCCAACCTTGCCATGTGGGTTGGCCTGGGTCATGAGTAGGACAAGACTCAGCTACCCAGAATGGGCCCTTGCCTCTGTCCCTTCTGCCTCATCCCACCTGGCCCCCAGGCATCAATCTTAGCCCATGCCAGCTGTGGCTCAGGGCGGGAGCCATGGGCAGCACAAAGAGTGGGCTCAGGGCTGCATGGAGGGGGCGTGCTCAAAGCAGAAGTGAGAGAGTATGTGTGGGAAGTGCTATGGGGCTCAGTAGAAGCTTAGGCTCTGCGATCTGAAGGAAGGCCATGTGCTTCCGGCCCCAGAGCAAGAATTGGAAGCTTCTGTGGCCCCTGTCCAAGGCACTGATTCAGCTCTCACTTCCTCCCATCCTCCTTTAATTTTAGGCAGCGCTTATCCCCCCTCCCTAACAACCCCCCAAAAAATGCTGACTCGGAGCAGGAAAAGTTCTTCTCCCTACTGGGCAGAACCAGAGGTTTCAGGTTCTCCTTTCTCCCTTCAAGAAAAGTTCCTTAAAAGAAAACAAAGAGAGAAGCTCCTAACCGTAACTGCTTTTTCCTCTCACCCTCTCTACTTTTCTATCTCTTTCCCCTGGATTACCCCTGAGCCTAGGCTGCCAGAAACAAACCCAGGAACAACAACAGAAAAGAATAAAAAATAAATATTGCAAAATTACAAAGAACAAATTTGACCCCAAAGAAGAGATATGAGCAATGGTGACCTGGTAAATGCTTAACGATCAGTTCTCTGAGGAAAAAATGTAGACACCATATACTTCTTTAATTTGATCTGAATTATAAATATTTTCTCCACCACTTTCTTAAGGCTAGATAATCAATAAGACAATAATTGATTAATAATTGAAAAATAATGATTTGTAGCTTTTGCCAATTGATTTCCAAAGTGTAAATACTCAAATTTTAACAATTAGATCTCATTAGCCAGTTTAAGCCAGCTTCAACACACCTCTGGATATGAGAAAGCATCACCCTTAAATCCATTGTGGAGATGGGGAGGAGGTGATCAAACAATGTGGAAAACAGCATACATTGTCAGTTTTATGTATTGATCAATTTCACTGATTTTCTCTTTTTTGTTTAATCCTTTATTATTAGGAATTGATCCCTTGATGTAAGGAGAAAGAATTTCTCTACGGGAACACTTAGGTGACAAAAACCCCCAAAAGATATTAATAAAAATTCATTGGCCTCCCAAAAAACTATGATTTTTAAAAAAGAGTTTAGATATGATATTTCAAGAAATAAATGAAAAATGTCCATTTGTTGTTGTTCAGTCATATCCTAACTAGAGAGCAAAGTGAAGACTGCTTGAAATAATCCCCTAAAGGAAAAGTCTTAGAAATGTCATAGCCAAAATCCAGAGCTCCCATGTAAATGAAAAAAAAAAAAGTACTGAAAGCATCCAGAAAAAAAGCACAGTCAGGATAACATAAGACCTGGCAGGTGCTACTATAAATTCATTCATTCTGTTGGTCAACAAGCATTTATTAAGTGTTTCCTATATGCCAGACACTGAAGCACTGAAGACATATAGACAAGCAGAAACACCTGCCCTTCAAGGAGCTC